TTTTCGTACTAACGTATCGTTAATAATTAGGTTCTATTAACCGAGCGTTTTCAATTTGATTAAATTGTGTTTATAATTTAATTTTTAGCGATTTAGAACCTTTTACTTTTAAAACAAAWTCATCAATAATGATCGTATAATCTTGAATGTTAGCTTAAAAGATGCGTCATTGTATTCTAAAACCATTTCTGTTAAAAAGTGACTTTTGAAAAAAATCTGATTTAGAACCTTTTCATTCTAGACCCACGATAAGTAGTTTCTGAAACATGAACAACCATTTTTTTCTTAATTATTTTCGAAAACCTGCAAATGCCACATATTTTGTGTGACATATATTATTTATTTTTTTCGTTGTACTTATGATCAATCTTAAATATTATTTTATATTTATCTTTACTGCTTATTGATCCATTAAGAATATTAAGCATACATTTTACTATACATATATATTATTAACTATAAACAACATTAAGGTTTGTGATTTGGTTGTTCTAGAAATTTAGAATTTAAAACATAAATTCTTACAAGAATATCATAGCATACTTTAAATCATTACAAACTCGTAGGCGTGCACAAGTCTCTATAATAGAAGACATGGCATTGAAGAAATTGAGAGATGTCTTATGATTAACTAAAATTCACCGAAACYTTCTCAATTGATTCATCATGTAAYTATTTCATTCATTCATTTTGTTACATTGTATTGTATAAGTTTCCTCAAAATTATATTTATTTAAAGTTTAAATAATCATATAGCTTCATCAAGACAGTAAAATTGTAATGTCTCAATCCTCCAAAATAAACTACAATTAAAATTTATAATATCCAAAAAAAAAAACCATACATTTTTTAATGGAAAAAAAAATAGGACAACCAACAAATTTAACTCTTAAGATATGTTTTCAGGTTCGTTGTCTAAATATATGAACATTAATAAAAATACATTTTTTTTAAATAACATTTTAAAATATTTTTATTATTTTTCAATATCAATTGATTAAACTTTAGTCAATATTATTAACACGTTAAGTGTTCTATTTTTATATAAACGTGGTGAAGAACCGTCCCATTTTTCTTGACCCATGATGCTGTGCAACTTGTTTTTTAACCTTTCATCAAAAGAATAAAACTTGTTAAAATAATAATATTAATTTAATGTTTAAAACTTACTATTAATACATTCTAATGTATATAAAAAATATAAATTGTGTATCAAAACCTTAATAATACTTTAAGTTTTTACATTTTTATAGAAAAAAAATATTATTAAACTCAAAAACTCAAATATAATTTTTTTTTTTTAATGTATTGATTGAAAAAAATCTTACAGGAGAGGCGGCTGTTTCCACCGTGTGCATGCTATATTATACTTAATATAGTTGTAGTACTATTCAAATTGAAGTAAATATTATTGTGAATACAACTTTAATAGTAACGTTGTGTAAATATACATTCTGCTATTTCGTGCTGCATCAGTGGCATAGTTTCTATTCCACTTTCACCCTCCATTAACTGTATCACCCYTTCTCACCCCTTCACCCAACAAAGATTATATACAGTACAAACGGGACTGATGGAATGTAAAAATGAGATTAATATTGTTTTGTTCACTATTTATAAAGGGTCTAGAAAAATCTACAAGGACGGTTCTGAGTGCTGCCTGGATAAGTATAGGTACCACTTGAAATATTATAATCGGTGCACCGAAACTCAGTGTGTCAAAAATTGAAACGATAATAATGATTCTTAACTTACAACGTCGCACCTGTTCACACCGTCGGTAAAATCACGATGATTGAAAATGTATCAATCGACAGTAGTTTAAAAACGATTATAATTATTCCATGGTCGTATTGATACTGAAAAATTATATATAACTAACTACAAAAAAATCTAATTCGAAATGGGATTGACGCAAAAAGTTTTTTTTCACTCAGCCACTGCAAGAGAATAATATATTGAAATTAATCAACTTGAAAATTATTTACTATTACCTAATATATTAATTAATTTATATAGGTCCTGGGCCTATACAATACATGACAAGCGTGTTGACAAAATTATTTTTAGCTAATATTGTATCGACACATCGACGTTTAACGTTTGTATATTATTGTATTTTACACGCATTAATGTTTTGGCAGTGGCCTACAGCGACGTATTATGTTCTCATGCAGTACGTTAGCCGACTGTTTGGCGCCGTTTCGTTGTAAGTGCGCGCGCATACTCGCTGATCACATAATAATATAAAATAATATCTTTATGGATGGACTGCATGGGCTATTACAGGGGTGTCCAACCTTTTGTGAAGACTGGGCCACATCATATAGGAAGAAATTGTTGTGGGCCACATATTTTTTTTTAACAATAATACATTCAAATTTAATGATTAAATTATATTCTATAATACAAMAATACATTTTTTTATAATTTTAATATAGCGAATAATAAGCAAAAATATTTTTACAAGTATTAATATTTAATTATAAGTACATAGAAAAATATATTTATTTATAATAAACGTGTGCATCGGCCTTTACAGTTTATTTGATATTTTATAATTTGATATTCTTTTGTTCTCGTAATACTAATATATTATCTAAAATTAATTCATGGTTTTTAAATTGAAGTGAGGGCCGCGGGTTGGACACCCCTGAGCTATTACATGAATGTATCATTAATTTACCATCGAAATTCGTGTGTTCAAAGGTAGTTTGATCAAAATTTACGTGGTCAGAAATCGATACAAAAATAAAAAACGAATGTAATTATGTGTTATTATAAAATACGTTATACATTAATATTAAAACATTTTTAAAAAATCATATAACATTTCTTTTTTTTTTATACGAGTTGAATTATTATCTGAGTAAACAGTATTATAATCATATTATCTTCGATACAATTAACTCACCGTCGATGTAAAATAATGCTGAATATTATAAACAACATGTACATAATTGCCATAATATAACAACAACATAATAACCTGAGTTACCTGGCATGAGTGCATTGCTATATGATTGTAAACAATATTAATAAGATCATTTCTCTCTTACTTAATTGATAGATACGTGGCCAATGCCTATATTGTATTTAAAACTCGTTGTTTACGTACACAATCGATGCAGTAACATCATTACAGCTACAATACGGCATGTGACCCGTTGGCTTTTGCAATTTAAAAATATGATAATGATTTTTTTAATTAACATGTTTTATTATTTTTATAATGAAATGMATCGGACCATTAAGAATTAGGATAAGTATACCTACGCACTAAATATTAAAGTCATAGTAGYACAACAAAATAAAAATAAATACAACATAATTGTTCGACTTCGGTATCTAACTACTAATCTGGTTACATAAAATAATTTCAATCACCCTTTTTTAATTTTCTATATTATGTCCCTTATTTATATATTAATAATTATCTCCATAACATAATGATAACATAAAAATGTCAGTTATGTGAGAGGGGCTCCAGGCTAAGATGAAATCGTGTAAATTATATAAATATAAGTATATTATATTAAATCGTATAAGGCCCTCTTCTTGACTTCAGCTGATTCGATCTAATTGTTCAATACAAAATCACCGTCAGTGACTATTTAAAAAACATATCATCGAAACGTGTTTAAGTGTTCTATAATTACTTATAATATATGTTCTCGATATAGTAAAGAAAATTATATAATTTTAATCTGAAATCGTGGTTAGAAAATAATATAATCGAGAAATTATTAACAATTTATAGTTTTACTAGTCCCCCGAGCTACCGCGGACAATATGCAACAGCATATCAGATAGAGGTGGACCATGAACAAAGTGATATGCATCTGTATCTAATTTGTAAGTGAAAATATTATTTTACGTAAACCTACTAAAGAACGGAGGACATAAACTCGATATGGTCACATGCTCGTAACGATTTATTGGATAATTTTAATAAATCAAAAATATGGGTAGGACACGATTGAGAACGGTCCTTATCGGCCATAACTTTTTTAATGACACAATAAACGCAATAAACGCAAAAAGAAGCATTCACGTTATTGTTTAGGATGTACAGTGTAAAGTCGTCCTAATGTCTTAGCTTTAAATATGCCTGGGATCGATGGATGTGGTTTTCCTTGCTTACGTGGCTCCCACTTTTTTTCTATTTTATTCCATGTAAAATAGCGTGGAACATYGGTATATAATAATGTTTTTGCAAATTGGTCGAATACATCAGATTTTTGACATAATATAAAGAATTCAGTTAGTGTCGTTTTAGGGGGCCCAAATGCTCTTAGGAGAATATTTTCTGGTGAGTATGGAACTTGGTATTCATGATTAGTGAATAGKTAAAGTAAAATACGAAAACACTAAACCAATATAATTTAAACTGTATAAATATAAATACCTAACAAACGAAACTCGAGACGGCGCGATAAGGTATTAACTCGATAATGACTGACTCGGTCAGATTGCGGCGCTTTATATTAACGAGGCAGCGACAGGCGGCGCGTACGAACATTTTAACCCTTTCAGACCCCATGCAAATTGACATTACAATGTGTATGAATTTTCTATGTAGTTTTGAAATAACTGATAACAGATTTATTAACCAAATAACCGAATAATGGTCACATATTATGTACTTGTACGAAATATATTGAAATAAATTCAATTTCATAAGTCATGCAATTATTGTAAATTAATCTAAAAAACTAGAGGTCGTTTATTATTTTGTCGTTTTTTTTTTTGTTTTTTTTGAAAATACTATGACTGTTCTTAGATAGCGCTAAAATAGTTGTACATGATGTTAGTAACAATTACAAGTCCTCGTGTTTATCTAATAAATCAGTTGTTTCTTATCTTTAATTGTTTCTTCAGAAAAACGCGGTAAACTATGCACATTATAATGTACATTGGGATTAAACATTAAACACACCGAGTGGAGMATAACGCTCGCATACGCCGTAAAGGTACGGTCTCCAAGGCGCGACACGCGACTGATGTTTGTGATCGGTCGCCGTGTCGAATGTGGTCTACTTAAACGCGACCACGACATGTCGCGACAATAAAATTATTTCTTATGGCTAGTCAACAGTCATATTTTCAGTTCAGTTTCAAATCTGTTCAAGTGCGCAAGTATAATTTAAATTCATAAATAACAAATTATGGATAGATTAATTGTTAATAATAATAATATTTTAAATCTGCTATTGATGGATGAGGACGACGATGAGGTTAGTTCATTTTCTTATTTGACRTCGAAAAAAAGAAAAACAACTGATGATATCTTTAAAAACCGTACAACTGAAGGATGTTTTGAAATTTTAATCAATCGACATTTGATGAGCAATCAAGTTAAGTTTCGTGAGTATTTCCGAATTAATTATGAACAATTCAATTTTTTATTATCTTTGGTGGGAGAAAAATTATAAGTAGAACCTACCAATCGAGTTAAAAATCCAATATTGCCCGCAGAAAAATTAGCAGTGACATTAAGGTATTTATAATTTTTTTATGTTTTGTATCGATACATCGAACTAATAAAGTAAAATTTTTTTTTAATAGATATCTTGCCACTGGTGAGTCACTGAGATCATTATCGTTTGCATTTCGTATAAGTCACAACTATTTAAGCACAATAATAAAAAGCACACTAGCTGAATTGAGAATTACATTGGCACCCATTTTTTTGCCTGATTCAAAAAATATAGATTTTAAACAAAAATCAGCAGAATTTTCGTACAAGTGGAATTTCCCAAATTGCATTTCAGCAATTGATGGGTAGCATATCCGTAAACGAAGTACTAGTAATTCTGGGTCTTTATTTCATAATTATAAAGRTTTTCATTCGATTGTTCTTCTGGCGATGGTGGACGCGAATTATACATTTATTGTTGTTGACATTGGTTCCTTCGGAAAAGAAGGCGATAGTGGTATTTTCTTAAAGTCAAATATGGGACAGAAAATTTTAAATGGGACATTTGGATTTCCAGAACAATGTCAACTTCCGGGATCAGATAAGGTAGCACCSCATGTAATTGTAGGTGATGAGGCTTTTCGCTTACATAAACATATTTTGAAACCATATACGAGAAAATCTGCCAGAGAAAATCCTTCAAAAACTGTGTTTAATTACAGACTTAGTCGTGCTCGAAGAGTTACCGAAAACGCTTTCGGTTTGCTAAGTCAAATTTTTAGAATTTTTATCAGCCAATCAACTTAGAAACGACCGCAATCGACGATCTAATTTGGGTAACCTGCTGTCTACACAATATGTTACGTGATGGGTACTTAGAAAAAAATAAATGACCATTCTTCGATTACGATACMGACTGATAATTTGATGTCACTTTCTCGACGAGGAGRGTTTTCAAATATTGAAGTATTTGAAGTTAGAAATTGGTTCAAAGATTTTTTTAATAACGAAGGGGCTGTTTCGTGGCAAACAAACTCTTAATTTTATATTCTATGAAATAGGTATACCTATTTAATTAATTAAAAAGTTGTTTGTATTATTTAAATAACACATTGCAGGATTATATTGTAATATTAGTATGTATAATTAATAAAGATATTTAAKTTTATGTATTATATTTTATAATACATTATTTGTATTATTAAGTGACATTTAATATTAAAAATATTACATTTTTAACCATAAAATAATTGTTAAGAATAACAATAAAATAAAAAATAACTGTTGTGTTACACTTTTTAATACTTTTAATAAAGACATATTAATTACTATTGTTATAGCATGATAAAAATCAACATTTTAATAAAATATAATAAGTTACTCAACAAGTAAATTTAAAGTTAAAAAACAAAAAATAAATGCAGGTGTTACTTATACCTTAACATAATAAAAATCAACTTTTTAATATAAATTAAAATATATTCAACAAGTTAGTGTAAAATAATTGAAAATAAAACAAAATCAAATATAGGTATTACTAAAGGTTAGGTAAATGTAATGCAAGCGGGTCATCATAATTAAACATGGAAAACTGTGAATCTGAAGATGTAGAGTACATACTACCTGATGGGGAAGGTTGAATAGAATCTAATGTTTGAAAATGTTGTTGAGCAATGTGTGGACCATAAACATTAGACATTTGGTGAACAATATTTGGATTTACAGGTTGTTCGAATAACAAATACTTTTCTTCTAATTCTGTCATCAATGAAAATATATTTCTTTTAACTTCGAGTTTTCCTTTGGTAGGAAATTTTTTCGCTGTTGCAGCCATACTTTTAAAAAATAAATCCAATTCATCCACATTGTCTTCCTTTTTATACAAAATTTCTTTATTTTGATCCATAATTTGCTTAATAATGGAATATCGTTCTTTTGAATTATTTGTCAACAAATCAGCAACACTTTTTGACTTAGAAAATCCACGTTTCCTTGTAAAACTTTCAGCTGGTAACTGCGGTAAGTCTTTATTTGTTTCACATAGTGTATCATCTCTGTCTTCATCGAGAGAAACATCTGCATTTTGTTCCAGTGTCACGTTACAAGTTGAGYCGAAAATGTAAGAAATTTATTAATTTCTAAATTTTTTAAATATAATGAAAGTTATTTATGGTTATTCAATAAAAATTAAAAATAAATACATTTTTATTTTTTATTGATACCTACTATCAATATTTATTACGATACTTAGTTATTACTATATTAAAATAATATTAAAATCACGTAAAGATTAAAATGTTTTTATTATAATTATTTATGTGTACTACAATAAAATACATATTCTACGCAAAATTGGTTTTCCATAAAATCTATTTTGGTTTTTGGTGTAGCTTTAAAAAAAAATAACGTAGATACATAACATTTTTACCAAATGTTTATATCACGATTTTCTATCTGCTAAAAATATTTATAGAAAATAAATTACATTGACGCACTAATAACCTATTATACAACAGAGTGGTACGCCGGTACTTGTTGTCCTTTTTTATACCAAAAATAAAGGTAATTTTAATTTTAATACATACTMTCTTTCACATTCAACTTCGTCCAAAAATGTGAGATGTGCAGCCAATGACCATTTTTTTTTGGTTGATGCTGCCGATCCAGTCCCAGGTTTTCGTTTATTTCGCGAGTACGAATCCCTAATGTTTTTCCAACGTTTTTTAGTATCATCTGCTATAAAATTTATATATTTTATTTAAAAATCATTATATTAATATATGGTTCAATAAAAAAATTATTGAAGTATTGTATTTATTAATTATAATATATAATATATAATTTTATTTAAGTACTAGATTTTCCAATCTTTGTGGCTATATCTTTCCATATTTTATTTTTMATGATAATATTTCTGTATTCTGYGAGTGACATATCATATAACATTGGGTTATTTTGTACTTCATTAACTAAAATTTCGTCTTCAGATGGCAAAAAATCTAATTTCGACATTGTGTCGTCTTGATGTGTCGCTACCTACTGCTCCATGAGTAGTATTGTCGTCGGTTGCGATGACCAAAAGTTGACACGTCGCGACTTGTCGCGTCTTGCTGACCAGATRATACGATTTACATAAAAACAGATATTGAGGACATGTCGCGCATTGGAGACCATACCTTAATGAAATGATTACGCTTATCGAATATAATAATTATACTGTATCAGATTATACATATTCTTATTAATTAATTTACTTATTTTATTTATTTTAGTGAGGTAAAAGTCATGCCATATTATTTTGTGATAATTTTAGGAAATGTTTGATTAAGTTCAATATACATTATGATGCACATTATAATGTACATACAGTCATTACATTATATACCCAATGTACATAGTAATATTTTCGGTCCAGATGGTCAGAATCTTCTGAAACTTGTTAAATATCTTCATTGAAGGCCTGTCATCATGTACCTATGATGAGAAAAACAATTTTTTGTCAGTTAAAATAATTCGGGTCTGAAAGGGCTAGAACGTTCCACCTGGAATATTTTTTTATAAATATAAATTTCCACGGAAATAGCTACCTGCCACGCGGTGCGACCGTTCCAGAATATTCACAGCGCTCGACACATATTATTAATAATAAATATTGAATAAAAACTATTCTAGCTTTTAAGTTGGACCATGTTATAAATGGYTACCAAATCTTATCAAAATCCGTTCAGTAGTTTCGGAGTTTATCGCGAACATACATCGTGACACGAAATTTTTATAAATAAAGATTAGTACATTTTCTTTTAGTATATCTTTAATATTACTATTTGTTTTTCTTTTTATATATAGTGTTATTTACTTATATAAATTTAATAAAGTGTAGACAATATGAATGTGATTTTATATAATGACCGGGAATAACAGCGGRATAAATACGTGCAATACGATATTAATCGAATAAATCTGCGTCATATAAAGGAATTGTTATAGCMGGGTATGAATTATTTTGTAATATCATCGTTTTGTTTTTAGGCTTTCCTCAAAAATTGTACTGTGCTTAGGAGGTTGTTTGGTTAGATTACCTACGTTATCAATGATTTWWAAAAAAAATTGTTAACTCTTTATCTTCATAACTAGCACTCCGTGCTATCTGGGGGTGACTCCTTGACCCTCCTGTGTTCTTCAAAGGTGAKTACTGAAAGTGGAGGCAGAGTCGTTACAATTAAAAAAGTGGCAGCATGTACTTGTCACCCATCGGCCAAAACTGATAAGGATTTGTATTATGGCTTGGCAGAAAYATTTTTAAAGTTGAGTTCGAGATTTTAGAAATTTTGAATGTTGAATATTCGTGAACGAACTAGAYAGTAGATACGTTCWAGTCTTGTCTTTTTATAAAGTACACAAACAAATTTGACATCGAAAACTACAGACCAATATTATTGATTAGTACTCTAAGCAAATTAATTGAAATAATAATAAACAAACGCCTAATCTGGTTCCTAGAATCATTCAAATTAATYTACAAAGAACAAAGCGGTTTAAGAAGAAAATCATTCAAAAATTTACGTTACACATTGATATTTGCTCAGCGTTCAGACATAACCAACACCTTATCACAATAACATTGGAAATCACAAAAGCGTATGACACTGTCTTGAAAAAAAGAGTACTGTAGAGCAGTGTTTCTTAAACTGTGTTCCGCGGAACCCTGGGGTTCCGCGTAGATCACTTCAGGGTTCCGTGAACTGTGAAGCTTAAGTAAATTTTTTTAAATGTTCGAGAAAATTACTTTAAAATATCTATTATGGAAAATAATACTTGTATATTAAAGAATAATATATAAGCCATATGGAATAATCTATCAGCTAACTTTATATTCAATAATCTATACTTCTACWYAATATTATAATTAATTTGCTAATAATCCTAAAAAAAGCTAAAAAGCTAAAAAAGTAGGGGTTCCACGATARAAGTGGACATCAAAAAGGGTTCCACGGATAAAAAAGTTTAAGAAACGCTRCTGTAGAGTACTAACAATACTTCACTCATGGRCAATTAATGGTAACCGCTTCAACTTTATAAAAACTTCCTAACACACCAATATTTAATGTAAAAAATAAAAATGAACRATAAGATCTCATAGGAGAGTTATAAATTAAAGCGAATGATATTTTTTATACTATTAAATCATTGTTTAATAACAACCTTCTTGAGTTGAATATAAATAAAACTAARCACATTGTCTTTAGCTTAACTAATATTGATATTCAGAACAATTTAAAAATCTGTGAACAATCAACATTATGCCTAGCGAATAATGATCTAAATTGTGCATGTGCACGTATAGAAAACGTAAATTGTATAAAGTATTTAKGATTATATATTGATTCACGTTTAAAATGGAGAAATCATGTTGAACATTTAATATTATTAAGTCGTAAATTCTTCTATATTTTTCATAACATTAGATCTATACTCGATAATATACAACTAAGAATAATTTATTTCTCACTCGTTTAATCAGTTTTTACGTATGGTTTTAAGAGTTGGGATTGTGCTTATTATACTCATTTAAATAAACTAAAAACAACTATGAATAAATAAATAAAATTTATATTAAAGTTGCCTAACTACACAAGTAYTGATACTATATATAAGGAATTAAATGTGTTTAATGTTGATAAGCTGTTTAAAAAAGTGTGTTATTACTTATATATAAGCATAGGAATTTTGTACCAATATTCAACCATAATGTAAATACTAGATTTAAGAAAAATGTAAATACTAATATTCCTAGATGTTATAAATCT